AGGATGTTTCACGTGTCTCTTTGGCCTCTTCTTGATGTGCTATTATTGATGTGGTGTTGCTTTGCCTTTCCTTTTTCCTATTGCTCTTTATTTCATTTTTCTTTTTATTTAGTGCTTCCCAAATCCCAATTAAAATACCATCACAATTTGATTGTTGTGTGATGGTGCGGTTGCATGCGAGTCTTAAACCTTATAATTATAATGAAGAAATGAATTATGTTCATCATATCAACTTGCATCATATTATGCAAAATTGACCACCTTGAACACGTTAAAATATGTTCACCAATCATATATAATTTTTTTTAACATTTATCATTACTAGTATGCTAATTTTATGTCATATAAGTTGACACTCATATTAACTTGTAGTTACCGACGGATACAAGAATGTGACTATATATGCCTTGCATCTACGATTCTCTAGATAACCTAATATTTAAATTATGATAATTTGGTTATTTAATTAGATCCACAAAAGATAATGCTATGCTACTATTTTTATTTATTGCGCCTCAATTTGTTTTGAAAGCCAAAAAGATACACCAATCAAATGTCTTAGGGAAAAAAAAGGACAAGAGTCATGTGATCTAAACAAGGAATTTGGATAAAGTCATGAGAAACTTCTTGTTATATGATATAGCTTTTTTTTCTATAAAGAAACTATATTTATTTATCATTAACAAAAAGCAAATGAAATCCAATTCATATGCTTTCTCTCCCTCTCTCTCTCTCTCTTTCACTCACTTTATGTATGTAGTAATTGATTTCAAACAAAATATATATTTACAATGATATGCAATATTTATAAATATATTTTAATCTATAATTCCAAACATATGTTGACAAAAATATGATGGGTAACTTGACATAGACTACAATAATTATTGCAATTTCTCCAAATAAATAAAAAGCCAATTTTCCACATGTTACTTTTATCTCTCTCTAGTCTCTAGAGAACGCCTGTGATTCTCCGCAAGCAGTTTTCACGGCAACAGAAGGTCTCTTCAAAGTCTCTTCAAGTGAAGTTCCTCAGGAACTCCAAGAACCAGTAAGGCGAAACGAACCCTAAAACCATCTGGGCTTCTCTTTTCTAACTCCCTCCATTAATCGTCCTGTACTTCAATGGGGTGCTTTAAAACTTCAAAAGTTGCAATCTTGCTGGGGTTTTTGCTGCTAATTTCTTCTGAATTAGTGGTGGGGCGATTTGTGGTGGAGCGCAACAGCTTGAGGGTAATATCTCCAGAGAGCATAAAAGGGACTTATGATAGCGCCATTGGCAATTTTGGTATCCCACAGTATGGGGGAAGCATGGCTGGGACTGTGATTTATCCCAAGGATAATGAAAAAGGGTGCAAAAGCTTTGGTGATACTGGGATTTCTTTTAAGGCTAAACCTGGGGCTATGCCTAATTTTGTTCTTGTTGATCGTGGAGGTACATATTTTTTGTCTAATTTATTTATTTTGGTTCTTGCACAATTTTTTTGGGGTCCTGAAGGCTTCATATAGTCTGTGCGATTTAGGAGAAATTAGAAGTCTTGATGTTTTCTTTTAATTGAGGACAATCTTTATATGTTATGCATGCCTACCTATTTAATTAGCTGCTTGTGTGTTTAAGTTGAAGTTTGTTCACTTTTTGTTTGAGGTAAATGGTGTGGCTTCAAGCGATACCCTGTTGAGGAGTTCATATATTTTTCTTTTCATGTATGCTGTAGATTCTATTTCGGATGCGTTAATTTGCTTTTTGGAATTTTGGTGTGTAGGCTTTATTTTGCTCTGATGGTAATTTCTTTAGCCTGTACGCTTTGTAATTCATGGCATTGTCGTTGCTAATTTAGTTTATTCAAAGAATTTCCAGGCTTAAATGATTTACTGATTATATTTGTTAATTTTCAATCTCATTCTTTCATAAGTTTAATCGAATTTCTATTTTCACTTAAAATCTGGTATCTTGTAATTTCTCCATCACCTTGGCTTATAAGTAACAAGCCAAATACTCGAAATTTATCCAAATACTCGAAATTTTAAATCCGATTACTACTAAAAGTAGCTCTATTTATCCAAATACTCAAAATTTTAACTATGAACACAGAATTAGCAACGATTTCTGTTTTCTATGTTGAGTTTTGTGGTGTACATGAGCTGTATGGCTAATTACCAACCTACCCCTCCTTTCACAGACTGCTTTTTCGCGCTAAAAATATGGAATGCCCAAAACTCGGGAGCTGCAGCTGTCCTAGTGGCCGACAACCGAGACGAAGCTTTGATCACAATGGACTCGCCCGAAGCCAGCGGCTCGTCTGCCGAATACATCGCCAACATCACAATCCCTTCTGCACTCATCGACAAAGATTTCGGGGAGAAACTGAAGACAGCTGTGAATAAGGGCGAAATGGTCAACATAAATCTCGACTGGCGTGAGGCCGTCCCTCACCCGGATGATCGAGTCGAATACGAGCTCTGGACAAACAGTAATGACGAGTGTGGAATAAAGTGTGATATGCTGATGAAGTTTGTAAAAGATTTTAAGGGCTCGGCTCAGATTCTTGAAAAGGGTGGGTATACTCAGTTCACGCCTCATTACATTACTTGGTATTGCCCGCATGCGTTTACTTTGAGCAAGCAGTGTAAATCTCAGTGCCTTAACAATGGGAGGTATTGTGCACCTGACCCGGAAGAGGATTTTAGCTCGGGATATGATGGAAAGGATGTTGTGTTGGAGAATTTGAGGCAGCTTTGCGTGTTTAGGGCTGCTAAGGAGGATAAGAAGGCGTGGGTTTGGTGGGATTATGTTACGGATTTTCAGATTCGGTGCCCGATGAAGGAGAAGAAGTACAATGGGGAGTGTGCCGAGAGTGTTATTAAATCTCTGGGTAAAATGTT